ACATTAAAGTCATTCTCATTAAAACTGGAAACTTGACAAGGATACTGCAAATCCACAATTTTTAAACTACTGTGAAACTCCATGATAATGCAATTAGACAAAATTAACTGTAGAGGATATGACTGCACATCTGAGAGAGCCAAGAAAATCAGCTGAAAACTAATGGCAATCATAAGGGAATTCATGATCCCAGAAATTCTGCTACTAGAATTATAAACTAGTGATTACACGTGTATACCAAAAGATCTGTACAAGAACAGTTAGAGCACCATAAATGCTGTAACAGCAAAAAACTAAAAACAATCCAAAAAGTCAGTAACAAAATAGATAAGTTGGTCATACTATGAAACAGTACACAGCTGTGAAAATGAACAACTACGTGAATCAACATCGATGCACTGTAAAAGTTAACATTATGCAAAAGAAGCCATTCATGGAAGAATACATACAGTGATTCTATTTATATAATTTTCAAAAATATGCAAAACTAAACAATTGTGTTTAGAAATGTAGATGGAGTTAAAAGCACAGGAAAAAAAAAACTAAGGCATAACAACATTTAAGATAGTGGCTGCCCCTTTAGGAAAGGGATGGGAAATAAATTTTGGAGTCATCAGGGGGCTTTTAAAAGTATATGCTGATTGAGGCTGGGCATGGTGGCTCATGCCTATAATCTCAGCCCTTTGGGAGGCTGAGGCAGGCAGGTCACTTGAGGCCAGGAGTTCGAGATCAGCCTGGCCAACATGGGGAAACCCTGTCACAGAAAAAATATATATATATATATTACCCGGAAAGTGGAGGTTGCAGTGTGCTGAGATCATGCTACTGCACTCCAGGGTGGGAGAGAAAGCAAACAGTCTGTCTTAAAAAGAAAAAACAGTATATGCTGAGTTCAATGGTGGCTATCCATGTTATTATAAATTGTATATATGTTTTCATATATTCTTTTGCTTATATGAAATACATCACAATAAAGTTCAAATTACATAAAATTTAAGAGTATAGAAAAAGAGTTCAGACATAGAAATAATATATATATATTTTTTTTTGAGATGGAGTCTCGCTCTGTCACCCAGGCTGGAGTGCAGTGGCATGATCTCAGCTCACTGCAAGCTCTGCCTAAATGAAATGTGTAATAGCAATAATAATATAAATTCCTAAAAATAAATTGACCAAAAATACTCAGAACCTATATAAAGATAGTCTTAGAATTTGAGGGCTAAAAATAAGGTTGGGGCCGGGCGCGGTGGCTCATGCCTGTAATCCCAGCACTTTGGGAGGCCAAGGAGGTCGGATCACTTGAAGTCAGGAGTTCAGGACTAGCCTGGCCAACATGGTGAAACCTTGTCTCTACTAAAAATACAAAAATTAGCCAGACATGGCAGATCACACCTGTAATCCCAGCTACTTGGGAGGCTGAGGCATGAGAATCACTTGAACCCAGGAGACAGAGGTTGCAGTGAGCCAAGAGTGTGCCACTGCACTCCAGCCTGGGCAACAGAGCAAGACGACTCTGTCTCAAAACACACACACACACACACACACACACACACACACACACAAAACAGTTGAAAAAACAAGATGACTCTGCTCAATCTTAGGAAAAATAAATATAATTTTGTTCTAACTAAACTTATCTCTGTTTTCAAGCAGGTTTAATCAAGATGTTAATCTTGATTTTGATGTGGGGGAGGAGGAGCTGTAACAAACTGATTTTCAAATGCTTTTGAAAGAAAACCATTTTGAAAGTGGAATAATGAGGAAAGGCTAATTCAATGGCATATTAAAACTTTAACAAGGACTCTGTAATTCATAACATGACTTGACATAGAAGTAGAGAAGATCAATGGAAACGGGTACAAATCCAGAAATGGACACGAGTACAACAGTGCATTTTACACATGAAAAAGGTTACATCAAATTTGTGGGGGAAAGATGGCTTATTCAATTAATGATGTTGGAACAAATGATGACATCTGGCAGAAAAAAAAATTAAGCTTGATTCTCTGTCTCAGTTCTTATGTCTTAGTGACTAAAAAAATTATATCAGATATGCATTATAGTTCAAATAATAGCTAACTTAACACAATCAATTATTAGTGAGTTCTTCATGTCCAGCACTGTTGTAAGTTATTTTTACATGTATGATCTTGTTTAACATTCTTAACAGCCCTACACAGTAGCTGTTATTTCTCCAATGTAAAGATAAGACTGGCTAAGTGATTCAATCTAGTTCACAGTACTAAGAAGTGATAGACATGCAATAAGCTTACGTAGTAGATGTAGAGCCTGTACTATGACCAATGTGCTATACTGATTAAATATAATGAAAGATTAACATATACTTATTATTGAAAACTTATTTTATATATGTTCCTTTTACATCTTTTTGTCCAAAATGGAAATCATCAGAATATTATTCTGTGGAAAAAGTCATCCTCTCTCCTTTTTATCTTCATTGAGTGAAAAAGAAAGGCTACATTCTTCTTCATTGCCTATTAAATGCACTACATATAAAGGACAACAATAAAAACATTCTGATACCAGTATAAGAATTGAGAAGAGGGTCCACAAAACAAGAGAGCCTCAAAAGTAATCTTCATATACATAATGTATATGTGTAATTTTGTATATGAAAAGGCAGCACCACAGTCAGTAGAGAAGATAAATGTTAGCAGAAAAATTAAATAACTGGGAAGTAAAAAGAATGTTTAAATCCTGTCATTTCTCACATCAAAATTAATTCTTGACAGGTTTAAAAATTAAAAGTTTAAAATACTTACACAATAAACAGGAAAATTAAAGCAATTACATATTAAATTTGGAAGTGAAGAGAGATTTCTAAGCACAAAACCATATAAGTAAAAGATTTCATTTTATGCAAATTTAAAACTTATATAAACAAGTCCTTAAAGTAAAAGGCAAATGATAAACTAGGAGAAATATTTATAACATATGACAAATGATTTATATGTTTTACACACAGAATATCTACTATCAAATGGAAACAAAAACTTCAGTAGGAAAACAGTGACATATATCAAAAGGTGATTCATCAAAGAAGGAATATAAAGAGTCAATGAATATATGTAAAAAAGTCAACCCTACTGAGGATTAAAAGAATGCAAATCAAGGCAAAATTTAAAAATTAATACTCAATGCTGGCAAAGGCTCAGTAAGATAGAATCATTAATCAAATGGTTGTAGGAGTTCAAGTTCATGTAACATTTCTAAAAGAGAACATGAGTTTTTCAAAAGCCTAAAACATGCTTATATCCTTTGATTCTGTTTTCCTATTTCTCAGAGTATATCTTGAGAATATAAAAAGACCTATACTTAATAAATTATGTTAAGTATTATAAGATATTTATAACAGCAAAATATTGGGAAATACTTAAATTTTCCCCAATAAAAAGCAAACTTAATGGGAGGCCAAGGTGGGCAGATTGCCTGAGCTTAGGAGTTCGAGACCAACCTGGGCAACATGGTGAAACCCCGTCTCTACTAAAAATACAAAAAAATCAGCCAGGTGTGGCAGCATGCACCTGTAGTCCTAGCTACTTGGGAGGCTGAAGCAGGAGAATCGCTTGAACCAGGGAGGCTGAGGTTGCAGCGAGCCAAGATCACGCCACTGCATTCCAGCCTGGGCGACACAGCGAGACTCCGTCCCAAAAAAAAGAAAGAAAGCAAAGTTAAATAAAGCATAGTATATACCTAGAATGGAACACTATATAGTCATTAAAACTAATGATACCAAAGTATGCTTGGAAAAATGCTCATTATATGTTAAGTGAAAAATGTATATAAATAACGGCTATTCATACATTGAATAAATATTTACTGAGTGCTTAGTATATGCACAATACAATTCTACATACTGGGAACATTTCCTTCCCTCATGAAGCCTATTTGTCTTGACTCAAATTGTTTAATAATATTTTCTATACACTAATCTTTTTATATACATGTGTGCATACGGGTGCATATACCTATATGTTCACATTTGTACATGTGTACATACATGTACAAATGAACATGTATACATACATATCAGTATTTGTACAGACAAGTGAGTATGTATATACGATAAGTATTAGATAAAAGACTACAAGTAAATATACCCAGAGGTCAACAATGGCTATCTGTCAATATGGTTCATGTGAAGAGATGCACAAGAATAAATAACAAATTTAAACATTAATTGCCCTCCACAATGTGGCTTTATACATTCATGTTACATTTCCTTGTCAATAGCCTGGTTTCCTTATTTGTTCCCTCAAATTGTACCTGAGACTAAATGATGGCTTTCCTATTTAGAATGATATCTTCCTACTCATAATTGTTCAAATCTGAGTTTCTGTTGCTGTGTTTTAAGTGCCACTCATTCTGGCACTGTTTAATGTGGATACCTTCAGAAATTATTATTAATCTCACACAATTTGTTCCCCTCAATGTTAAGACTTTTTTTTTTTTGAAAGGGAGTCTTCCTCTGTCGCCCAGGCTGGAGTACAGTGGCACCATCCTGGCTCACTGCAACTTCAGCCTCCCGGGTTCAAGCAATTCTCCTGCTTCAGCCTCCTGAGTAGCTGGGATTACAGGTGCCCACCACAATGCCTGGCTAATTTTCATATTTAAAATAAAGATGAGGTTTCACCATGTTGGCTAGGCTGGTCTCAAACTCCTGACCTCAAGTGATCCACCCACCTTGGCCTCCCAAAGTGCTGGGATTACAGGCATTAGCCACCGTGCCTGGCCATGACATTTATTCCTTTATCTCAGAACACCAAGAACAGCATGAATTATAAAGTAGACTTGAGTGACTGAATGAATGAATGAGTAAACATTGGGAAAAGACACCGGGTTGGGGCAGGGTCAAGTCTGCATGCTTAAAAATTTCTCAGGCAAGCGAGGAACATTTTCTGTCCAGTCATCCATCCATCCTCATTGCCACTTCCACTACTTCCACCACCCATGAAGAATGCAGGGACAATCATCCTCACCTGGGATCAGACTATGAGGAAAACAGTGTACATTCCTTCCTCCTTTGTGTTCCTCTTCTCGGGAAGGGTAGTGCTGAGATGGCTGAGCTGAGGAGGAAGGGGGATTGAAAACCCGGTATGACTTTAAATTCCCAAACTCATTAAATTCCCCATATACTAACTGGGTACGATGCACAAATCTCCTAGCATGAGGTCAAAAAGAAGCCTATAAATGTTCTTGTTTCCTTTCAACGACCAGAACGGAGAGCTATGAACACTGGCACCTTGAAATTTATTTGCAACCCTCTAGAAACTTCAAAAGATACAACTCATTTATTGAGATTACTACTACTACTACTACTACTACTACTACTACTACTACTACTAGAAAAGCACTAGCAAACTTAAATAGTATCTATTTTCAAGGTATTTTTCTTATTTTGTTCAGTTTAAGTAGAAAATCATTCCGTTGTCCTCCCCTACTTGCTAAACAGGAATACTGGATTTACTATCAGAAAGGTACCCGCAGTCTTAGAGAAGTATCCCAGAACTGGAGCTCCCAGGTCCTGATCAAAGTCTCAACTCTGTCATCAAGCACTTGTAGAACTTTAAAGAAGACCAAACTTCTAGATCTTCAAGGTCTCAGTTTCCTTACCTGTAAAATGGGGGCATGAGCCTTTGCCAACCCAGTCTTTCCTTGCTGATCACAGGTAGGTTCCTGGGCAAAATGATAAGCAATTAGTTAAGAGCCCTTATTCTCTAGGGAAAAAACGTTTCATGCGTGCTCCAAGAGCAGGACAGGTTTGGGCTCCCCCAACGCGTCACGGGCTGCCCAAGTGTAAGCACCAGAGAACCAGACACACAAACGGTTCTCTAGAAGCGGGATCTCCAGGTCTTGGCCACAGATCCGGGGGTCCTCTGCTCCTGCAGTGAAGACGCGCGCGGCCTCCGTTGCTTATCCAGATCCCTGGCCAGAACTCTGCCCCAGCACCGAACGCCGGGCACCCATACCCCAGGGACCAAGCTGCTTCTGCCCTCCTCTACTTGCCTTTATTTAGTCTTAACGGGAGAGAAGCCGTGATGTACCCACCTACACCGGTGTCTCCGAGGTTTCTAAACCGGAGTCGCTTCTCAGTCCCTGACCCTCGATTTTCTGCCTCTCTTCCTTCAAACACAGCTCGTCTTGCCCTGTCCGCTTCTGGCTCAGTCCTCCCAAGAGTTCACGTCACTTAACGGAGCCTGTGAGAGTGGACCGTTATGGCCAAAACACTCAGTCCACACAAACAATGGCCGCAGCCCCGCTGGACCGAAACGGAAGTCCTAGGTCTTGGAGTAGACACTTGCAGTGTTTCCGTGGATACGGGAGGGGCGGGGCGGGAAGAGACAGCGCGGTGGAACGTGACTCCTGATTGGCCAGAAGGATCCCGCGCCTCCCGACCTTTGGCTGCCGGCTTTCCGGCGCAGGAGAGCAGTGAGCTCGGGAGTTGCGGGCGCTCGGGAGCTGCGGGCGCTCGCGGAATGAGGCGAGAACGCACCGGCATTAACGGAATAGGAGTACTACCGAAGCATTTAGGGCCCCGGGAAAGGGGGCGTGGCTGGAAACGGAGCGACTGGCTTCGGAGAATTCTGTGACCCTCACCGCCGCGACCGACCCCGAGGAAACGCTGGCAGGTCGCCTTTGGTTGGCAAGGCGTGGTTGTCCTCGCTGTCCCGCGCCCTCGGCGGAATGAGCACCCCACTAGCCCTGGCACTAGCTAGCATCGCTCTAAACTCGAGGTTAGAGCTTTTCAAATTCCGTCCTATTGTTGCCAGAGACCCTCTTCGTTCCTGCTCCAGTGAGGCTTGCCTCCCTCCCGCCTTCCTGCCAAATCCCAGGCTCCTCTGGAGACTCCAGGCAGAGAAGGGAAATGCACAGTGGACCTGAAATGAAGCCATGAAAAGGAGCCCCTCCTCAGTGTCCTGGGACCACAGAGTTGCAAGAACCTGTTCTGTTATTTACCTGAGTGTGTTATATTAGGAAAATATTTTCGCATCTTTGGGCCCTGTCCCTCAAACTTGGGCTTGATCAGTAATATTCAAACATTTTATTAGGCAAGGAACTTTTGGTAGGATAGTCATTAAAAGCAAGGGACTCCTTGGATTCTAATCTGGCAACACTACTTATGAGATCTTGGCTGGACTGCCTAACCTTTAAGCATCAGCTTAATAGGCGTAATATTGATAGCCAATAATAATAGTAACTATTTCACAGACTTGTTAGATTGAAATGGGTTAGTGTAATTAAAATGCTTAAACCAGCCCCTGGCACATAGGAAGTACTCTGTGAACTATATATTTACGGTTTGATGTTCAGCAGGGATGGGTGGCCCAGCGCCTATCTGCTTGAATTCACCACACAATAAACACCTGCATTTTTTGTGACTCTGGAGACCACGTTTTGAAAATTATTGGGCGTGGACCCTCCCTCGTTTGAGCATTCAGAGTATAGCATAGCATTTTTAAAATGTGGGCTTTGTTGTCTGACGGAACTGACGTTAAAAGCTATCAATCATTGTTATCCACTAGGTGATGTTGAGCAGGTTGTTTAACCACTCACCCTTAAGTATTTTCACCTGTAAATTGCAACATATTTAAAGCCACAAATGATAGTTGAATTACTGAATGCAGAGACATTGACCAGTAAGAAGGAACACTGGAAGTGGGCTGTTCTGCCACACTGCTTCCAACCTGAGAACCTGAACCTCAATGAACTAACCAAAATTAAAAGAAAAAAAAAGCTAAGAGGATCCAGTTTTCAGAGAAACAAAATGTGTATCTGAAGAAATATACCTGCTAAAAGGTAGAGGCCAATATGAATAACGAAGAGCACCAAGTATAGCATACACAAGACTTTTAGGAATGAATTCTACCCAGTTACAGTTTGGGGTTTAGCAGGGGTGGGCAGCCCAGAGCCTATCTGCCTCCGTCCACCACACAATGAGCATCTGCATTTTTTATGACTCTGGAAGCTACATTTTGAAAATCATTGGTCATGGACCCACCCTGGCTTGAACATGCAGAGACCCAAAGCACCATCTTTGATGAGGGTCCTGGGAGCAGTCACCAGATGCCTAGAGATGTACCCAGGGGAGGAGTGAAGAAACTGCCTTGCATGGGAAGAGAGGGATAGCCCAAGTTCCTAGTCCAAGATGTTGCAGATTCTTCATAGCAAATAATTGAAGAATCTAAGAATAGGACTGTGGCTTGAGGGCATAGAATTTTCCGTAATTTTGGTCAATGTCACGTAACTAAGAACACAAATTGGAGTCAAGTCTGACAAGACAGCAAGGAATGTAGGGGCCAAGATCCTGATGAAAAGGGAATCTTTAAGCAGCCAACCTAAAACCTAGTGGTTTTCTCTTCAAACATTAGCAGAATTCTTAAGATGAACAGGAAAAGAAGATAAGAAAACTGTTGAAGTGCACAGAAAATTTTCAGAGGTCTCATCACAGATCAGAGGAAATAGGAATTATAGTTCAAAATCCACCAAGAAAGAGATACCCAACTAGAATTCCTGGAGAGCAAAAGAATAAGTACAGAAGCAAACTGGCAATAAATAGAGATGGAGCTGCCATTCAACTTTGAGTCAGCTCTATACCTGACTGGATTGTTATTATCTGCCCCCTCTCTAACTGCCTATGAGAGGAACTCTCTCAGGAGGAATGTTATCATTCAGAACTACTACAGTGTTTCATGTACAATGTCTGATAATTCAACCAAAAATTATAAGGTCAGAAAAAAAGACAATAGAAACAAATTCATGGATGACTAAATTATTGAGCTAACAAATATATATTTAAACATAATTGTGATTAATATGTTCAGTAATGGAGAAGAGTTGACAAGATCGGGAATTTTAATTGAAAATCAAATTTAAATTTTATGAATAAAAATAAAATTGAGAATGTAATAGATGGGTGTGACAGCAGATCAGATCCACCAGAGAAAAAGAGGAAAGAATACAGATACCTAAATGAGAAGATAAATTTTATATACACATATAAAATGTTAAATATATGTTTAAATTTTAATTTTATATATATAAAATCTTAAAATGGATATTTTAAGATTTATAAAGTATATTTGTAAAATTATATAAATTTATAAAATTTTAAATATATAATTTTAATTATGTTACATATAATTATATTACATGTATAATATATTACATATAATTTTAATTATATTACATATATAATATAATATATATTTCATATGTTTAGCTTGGAGATTTTTTAAAAGCATTTTTATATAAAAATATTTGTACTATAAAATTTTTATTTTATATATAAATCTATTTTTACATATAAAATATAAATATATAAGCATTTTTAAATATATAAAATAGATTCATATATAAATATTTATATTTATATGAATATATTTTATTTATATTTATGTATAAAAATCTCCAAGCTAAAGTACAGAGAAGAAAAGAACATAAATTGTATTAGGTCATTCTTGCATTGTATAAATAAATAACTTGAGACTAGATAATTTATAAAGAAAACAGGTTGAATTAGCTCACAGTTCTGCAAGTTTTACAGGTAGCATGGTGCTTGCATCTGCTTGGCTTTTGGGGAGACTTCAAGAAGCTTACAATCATGATGGAAGGTGAAGGGGCTGTGAGCATGTCTCACATGATGGGAGAAGGAGCGAGAGAGAGAGAGTAGGGAGGGAGGTTCCACACACTTAAGCAGATATCATGAGAACTCACTATCACAAGGACATTACCAAGCCATGAGGGACCCACCCCCATGACCCAGATACCACCCACCAGGCCACACCTCCAATGTTAGGGATTACATTTCAACAGGAGATTTCGGTGGTAACAAATATCCATACTATATCAGAAACATAGGGAACACAATGAAAATATCTAACATACACAATTAGAGTCTCAGAAAAGATAAAGTGAGCAAAGATCAATATGTGAAGAAATAATGATTTATAATTTTCCAAGCCTGATGAAAAATTCTAACTTACAGTGTATAATTTCATTATAAGTCTTAAATGGTATATTGAAATCCTACAAATATTTCCAAGGATCCCTGGAGCCATGGTATTGATCCTTGACCAAACCGGAATAGAATATACTACATAGGAATTAATGCAGTTTTGTGCTAATGTAGTTTTCCAAAAAATACCAAGAGGGAAATCTGTAACAGCTTGCCAATATTGTTTATAGAAAATGTATTGAAGAATGATTTGCATCTGGTTTCTGTTATGCTATCTTGGTTTCTGCTATTGAACCTGGTCCCATAGCTTGGTTTCAGCTACATGACAATTGTAGTATAAAAGACCCCTACTTGAATGAGCTGTGGCTTCCCTGAAATCAAAATATCTTAGTGGTTCACTTGCTGGCCATAAAGCACAACCTTGTGACAGAGAGAGGTCTCTGGAATCTGTGTAGGTATTGTGGACCACCTTTCTTACCCCTGCTGCTTTGTATCCATGTCTGTCACAAATCTTTCATGAGTGTGTGTGTATGTGCATGCATGCAAGTCTATGTTACACTGTATTTTTATAAATATCTCTAATAATCTTAGAACACTTGTACATTTGAATGAGAAAAATATGTGAGTACAATGTGAAAAAATTCTAATTTTTTCTAATCAAGCATGTTAGCAATTGAGGTGGAGGAGGAAAAATGGTCACTTTTTGAGCCGAAATGTATCCTTTATGATTTGGTTAAAGAAATACCTGAACACATAGAAGAGGAATAAGATAGAGATGGAAATAATGAAAAAAGATCATAGGCTTAAATAGTAGATCTATAAGACCTAATATGCAGACACAAAAGTTTAGAGAGAGAGAGAGAGAGAGAGAGAGAGAGAGAGAGAAAGAAAGAAAGAAAGAAAGAAAAGAAAGAAAGAGAAAGAAAGAAAAGAAAAGAAAAGAGAAAGAAGAAGAAAGAGAAAGAGGAAAGGAGAAGAAAAAGAAAGAAGGGAAAGGAAAGAGAAAGAAAAAGGAAAGAGGAGTTTATAAAAGTGAAGAAACAAATGACTAACAGAATAATAGAAAATGCCTTTGTGTTGAAAATTTTTGAGAAGGCGTGAATGTAGACCAAATAACTCACTACATTTCAGTCTGGATTAGTGAGTAAAGACCCACTAGACATAAAAAGGTATAATTTCTATACTGTAAGGATAAAGAGAAAAGCTTTTAGGTTAAAAGGGTAAGTTATCTAAAAATAAAAATGACATTGGACGTCTCTTTTGTAATGTTGGAAGCTAAAAAATGTTCAATAGCAGTATAGACTAGTAGGCTAAAGGGGCTTCAATACATCAGCCAAAATATCATTTCTCCCTAATGTAGT